TACCTTGTGGTTTATTTTATTAATTACATCAGAAAGACTTTAAAGTTAGTCTTTTGATTTAGGTTTAAGCTGCTTAATAAGACAAAATGACAGTTAAATCTGGCATTATTTTAAAAATTGCTCAGTAACATTCACTTACATTCATCTCTGGCCTTCATGCGTGCAATAAATGAGTAGCTTTTATTTCTTCGATAGTTTTCGTAAGGGTCATCTAATGCAACTCCCACTCCTTTATATTGATCCCATTTGTCTCGGATATCTCCTCCTTTAATTGGGTCCTGAATCCCTTGTTCCTTGGCTCCCAATCCACCAGATCCACTCCATCCTACAGAAAGGACAAGCACTGTCTTCAGAGCTCTGACAATAAGAACAACAGCACCCAAGATCGCAGAAACATTTGGGAAGCAAGCTCAAAATCAGTTTGATACTGCAGGGTAACAGCCTGAATAAAAACAGCCAAGCTGTCCCACCGATTTCAAAAGTAGCAACGTGCAGTGGTTTGTGGGAGTTTACGAACATCAGCACTGCCACTGAAAACCTCTAAGAGGCCAACGGGAGGAAACAGAGCAATCTTGCCAGCCAGTCCTGCTGACCTGTGCTATCAGGGGGAGAAAGAGCTCAGTAATGTCTCTTGGACACCAGGCTTCCGTATCCTTCCCAGAAAGGCAGATCTTGCTTCATCTCCTCTGTACTTCCACCTCGGAATATACTTACTGTGACCCTGGGAGAGCAAGGTCTTGGAAGGGACCATAGTTAGGAACATTGGTGTAATTGTATCCAAGAGCTGGGTGCCTCATTTTGTTTCCTGGTTTGTGAAAGATGATATTCAGGGAAAAAAAGAGTTGAAAAGCTCAAGGACATTGTCTTACCCATTTTCACTAGCATTTGATGGCCTTTATTCTCTTCTCCAAGTCTTGATTCTGGTATAGGAGGCCCAGAACTGGACCCCAAGCCAGCAGAAGAACTAAGGAAATAAAAAGAATACATTAACCAGAAGAAGGCAAGACTGTTCTGACACAGACACATTGTCAGACACAACGAGACATCAAACTCATTCAAGTTCTGCTAAACACAAAGGTCCAGTTTAATTGCAACCTCACTAATAAACTGTAAGTTAATAGGAAGTTATTAGATTATGGAGTTACGGATGCCAGAAACACTCTACCTGCACCTCGTACAAGTTAGGTTCCTTTTATGAAGGCATAGGAAACCTTCAGAGCTACACAGCTTTTGTTCAGACAAATAGCCACAACACAGTATTTTTGTGTATATATAAATATATACAGCATGCAAGTAATGCTCCCAAATCTGCCTGCCATCTTCTCTTTTGTCGTATTTGTTGAGATGCTTCATATGCCCAGGTGATGAGAAAAACTTATTTAACGGAACATTTCTGAGCAACTCGGGTAAAAAAAGAAGGAAACAAACAGCTGCTTACGGAGGAGTGGGACTGCGAGACCGCGACCGGCGTCGCCTTCCTGGGGAGTAGGACTTCGATCGCGACCTCGACCGTGAGCGCGAACGGCTGTGAGAAGAGCGGGACCTGCTCCTGCTCCTGGAGGAGGAGGGCACATGAGATCGACATGAGCGCACATTACAGAGCAAGCAGAGCTCCTCGTTCAGCTCTGAGGGGCTTTTTCACTCCAAGGTTCAGCCCACTGCACTGTACCTGGACTGAGACCGTGAATAGGAGCGGGACCGAGAGCAAGAGCGAGATCGGGACCTCGAGTAGGAGCCAGATGATTTTGAAGAGCGGGAATTGGACCGGGAGGACGATCGACCTCGGCTTTTCGAGCGACTGCGAGACCGAGAAGGCCCACTGCACAGACAGAAAAAAAGATCTCCAGTGAAGCTCTTAGGAGATGTGCAAGGAAGGAAATACTTTTCATCAAGTTCAGACTGCACAGGGGCACTGCAGACAACCTAGTGAGAACCTGACAGTGTGTCAAGAACTGTTTCCTCCAGAGCAGACTAACATTCGAGCAAGTTAAAGCTCAGAGATTCCATCAACACTCCTCTGAACAGATACTCCCCAAGTATTTAGTGTAACGTATTATGGGCACCTTCCAAACGAAGAGCACACATCAGAGGGCAGCAGACAGGATCGCTCACCTATTTCTCTTCTCCTGACCTTTCCTCCGCCTCGCTCTCATTTTAGCTCTGAAGAATTCGTACAGTCCATTCTGCTCCCAGCCTTCACTGCAATAAATCAACCACATAGAACCAACATCTGTGAAAATTCTACGTTGGTCAACAGAGAAGTTCAGGATTTCCACTAGATTTTGTAGGAAACAGAGGGTCTCGGCCAAAAGGTCTCACACATCTTGGTGTAAGATCAGACAGTGTGTGCAGATTAAAACAAAACAAGAGCATTTATTTTCAGCATTAGTAGAACCAAGACACAGGCGAAGGAAAAGAGAGGCACTTCTGTGTTTGAGACAGCTTCTTAGGGCATTTTCCTTACCATATTGTTAGCTATACCTACTCTTACCTGTTTCTAGGCCTGTCATGAGATGGTGGACTATAAAATGCCTCAACCGCAGCCAGGAGTCTCTCACTGGGGGGCATTGGGGGTGGAAGACGTATATCTTTAGGATCTAAAGGTTTATACTCATGATCTTCAAGCTGCCGGAAACAAAACAAATTACATTTGTGTCATGGGGTAGCTACCTGTAGAGATAAATATAGATTTAACTGTGAGGGACCTCACAATTCATTACTGGATAAAAACATGGTCCAGAAATAAGGATTCTGCAGCTGACCCAATGCCTTCTGGAGCTGTCACTACCATTTTGATTTCAATGAGATTAGCCAGCACTGCACCTGTCGAAAGCTGCATTTTGTCTACCTGGCAATCCATTTAAATGCTCCATTTACCCACCTTTGTGGTAACAGTGCCTGAATGGAAACCTGGCAAAAGCTGATGCAGCAGCAAAGGCAGAGATGGAAGAGACTATCTGTTCACCTCAGACACAGCATGCAGAAACACGGATACCCCCAAAGCAGCTGGCATCCCCAAAGAGGCTGAACGTTTTTGCTCTTGTTCTTTGTTTGTATGTGCCACATTACGGTTAAAAGGAAAAAAAGAAATCCTTGCAGGAAGAATCCCGAACAGAGCCCTAGTGCACAGCGGCCACACCAGGTCCCTCTGCCCACCTGGAAATCACTGAGCACTAACTCAAACAAGGTAAGATTTTCAAGGGCACATTAGGCATTCCCGTGCGTGAGCTGAATGGCATTCCAAGGGGATGCAACACTTGAAAATGTTACCGTGTTCGACACAACCCCTGCCACAACCTTGTCTGGCAGCTGCTGCATGGAAAGGTGTCAAATCATAACGTAACATTTGAACATGGACCTAAAGCTGACCAGGGCATTCCGGTCTTCTAATCCTAGCAGCCAGGGCCCATTTCAAGCACTTACTTTCACAAGTGGAGCCATAAGTCCGGCGGGAAGGTCAAAGTAGGGAACATTTGGCACCAGACTGGGATCATCGTGGTTCATGTGCGGGGGCCCTTGTCGCCGCATGTGAGGAGGCTGCCCGTTATTGAAGCCGTGCGGCGGAGGCCCGAAGTCGGGGTGCTGCGGCCCTCCCCACGGAGGGTGCTCGCTGATCCCGGGATGAGGCAGTCTGTGACCAGGGTGATGATGAGGAGGGCCCATTTCTGCACAGAGCAGGAGGGGTAAGGAGGTTTGTGTTAGCTTTAGAGAAAGGAAGGCAATCCGAGAGAGCTACTTCAAACAGTGCATTTATCCTAAAATAAGATATATCATCATGGCAGCTAGGGCCTTGAGCATCAAGAGAAGGAACAAAAGAGAAACAGAGCTGTTACGGGGCCACGCTCACTCCAACCCCACAGCGTCCCTCTCAACAACTTGCACAACAACAGGAAACTTTAACTAGAGGCGCTGTTTGCTTTGGAACAAACTGTGGCCAACAAGTGCTGCAACAAGAATATTCTCAAGAATGAAGGGTTTTAGACGCAGGGCAGCTCCCAGCACGCTGTTCCCGAAGCCTGAACACGCAGACCTGGACTTGATTCTGTCCCTACACCGGGCAGGAGATGTAAACAAACAAACGTGGCAGAAATCACCTCGCACCAACAGCACTTTGTTTAAAGGGGTGTTTTGAGAAGAAGCAGAGTTAAAATCCTGCTAAAACGCAGAAGTGAATGACATCTGCCCAGTCCCTGATGGACGAACCATCTGCCACAAAACCCGGCGTATCCTGCTGAGCTCATTGCACTGTGCAGGAAAACGGGAGCCTGGAAATGAACCCCGTGCTCCAGGGGACAGGGCTCTGCAGGAGGAGCCCTTGCAGCCACTGTCCGACCTCCAGCCAGTGCCATCTGATTCATCTTGCAGAATTTCAGTGTAATCTCTGCTGTCATTGCCTCGCTGCTTTGCTAATTTTAGCCACCTGTTTCAGCAGATCCGCTCCTCCAGCAGCTTTACTTGAAGCAACAAAAGATCTGGGTCACAACTACAATGCCAAACACAGCACCGTTTCTGAGCTTACACCTTAATTCCCCCAGCACAAGAAAAGCTTTTTTCCCTACTTACTGACATAACTCTGTTAAAAAGATGCATTTTCAAAAAAAGTACAGATTGTTTTCATAAAAAAAAAAGTTACAGAAGATATCCACAATCCTAAATGCATAAGCTTGAATTCCTTTTTTTTCAGCCTTTTTTTGGACTTATAGAATCATGAATATTTTACACTTAAAACAGCAACTCCTACATTTTAAGCTTAAAAATGGCAACCTAATTGCTTTTTAAGTGACTTGTCATAGGGAACTACAAGGACCTTTAGACTTTATGTTGATAACAATAATTCTAGATTAATCATAACTTGTGAATGTGAAATAGAAACTAAATCAGAGTAGAACTGTATCAGACTTCCAAGGAAGCCTGCAGCCAACTCCTAGCCACAAAGGCCAGGCAAGACAACAGAGCTCTCATCTATGGCCTGACATGCAGGAAATCCAATCTGCAGGCAGGGGGTTGCTTTTGACTTCTGGGCTTCAAGATTTTAAAAAAGAAACACTTGCAAAAGAAACATCCATTGGCATCCAGATACTGCAAACAGAAAAGGAACCAATTCAGACATATGCTGCCCTGAGTTTGGGTTACAGTTTCTGGTTATCCACATCCCACCAAGGGAGGCAGACTCAAAAAAAATGCAAAGAAACATCAGATTCTGCATGTTATATAGCGGCCGCTTCCCAAACCCCCCCAAATCATTGTTGTTCTGGAAAACCATTCCAGTCCTCCAAGCATCAGCTGTCACCCCAAAGCACTAAATAATTTTGCAAGGGCAATCAGCATTGCAACGTAAGAGAACCTGCCCTGGGACACACTTTACCTTGAGGAAAATCCCCCTGGGGGTAATCAAAACGATGAGGATAAGGAGGCCTTTCAAAGGGATGGCGAGGTGGAAAATCATCCTGCATGAAGCGAGGTGGGAAGCGGTTGAAATTATGCGGATGCGGGGGCTGGTTGAATTGGGGATGTTGCTGATGTGGAGGAAATGGGCCTCTGAAGTGAGGTGGCCGCTGCATTCGAAATGGAGGTTCCCTTTGACCCCCACCCCATGGAGGTTGTTCGTGCTGGTTGTTCCATGGTGCTTCAAACTGGTTGTTCCAAGAAGGATCTGGCTGGTTGTTCCAAGGTGTCTCTCGCTGGTTATTCCAACCTTGATCTCTCTGTTCATTCCACATTCCTTCATGGTTGTTATTCCACGGAGGACAATGAGGAGGTCCCTGCTGATGAGGGTAAGGACCCTGGTCAGAAGACTATAAAAGCAAAGAACATAATAAGAACAGTCTACTTTTTAGCCCAGCTATAGCCTGAAACAATAGACAATATGCAAAGAGGAGAAGGATTCTCCAAATGCAAGGTCCAAATAACTGCAACTGCAGAGAAAAAAATGGAAAAGACCAAACTGCCACTGAATTGAATGGCAGCGTGCTCTACAGAGTGACTCTTGTCGTTCGGCTTATTCATAAAGGAAAAGTGGTAGGTGACAAATCGTCAACCATAATTTATTCCTTGCTTTCAGCTGTGAGAAATTTTTGGCTGACTCTGGAGTTCTACCACTGACAGCTTGTACCATTCTCTCACAACCAAGGTGCTCTTTCTGAATAGATGAACGCCCATCTCCCTCTATACCTTGTCTCAGAACCATGTTTAATACCTGTTGTTGACCCCAGGGTGCAACAGGGTGAGGCTGGTCAAACCAGGGTGGTTTATTTGGCGGAATCTGATCATGAGACCCGGGGCCACGCGGTCCTCCTGAGGCAGGATCCTGCACTCCAGACCCTGTAGTGTCATATTCTGTAGAACCAGACAGCGGCATCTGAGATTTACCATCATCTGGAAGAGAAAGGAGAAAGTTATAAGCATCCAGGTCACAAGTGATTACTAAAACACCAGACCTACAGCTTACTCCATCTGAATTTTCCTGCATGTGGTCCATGCTCAGCAGAAATCTGCTACTGGGAGAGAGGATTTTTGATCTCAGTCTAAAATGTGCATCTTTGGTCCAAGACTGTACCAACTGCAATCTCCAGGCAGCTTTAGACTTTCACCTGAGACAAACCAGCATCGCACAGCAGCTCGCTACTAAAAAAAGCAGTAAATATCTCACAGTGTTGCCACCCACTGACTTCTGCCCGTGTCCTGGGACAGGTTAGTACCTGCTTGCGTAACTGGAACAGACGGCGGAGCGGTGTTTGGTGCTGATGTGGGGGCCTGTGGTGGCGGGGTTGATTTCACCTCATTCTCTAGCGGGGGCATTTGTAGTTGCTGCTGCTGCTGCTGCTGCTGTGTTAAACTGTTCACAAATTCTTCATGCTGAGTCTTCAAGTTCTGTATCTGCTGCTGAAAGGCTACCTGTACAGGCTGTACTACCGTTGCATACTCTGTGATCAAATTTGCCTGAGAAAATTAGATAAATTAGGAACATTTTCCAAAAGTTAATGCCGCAACTGAAGCAGCTGTCCTAGTTTCTCAGACAGAAACTCCTGTATCACCCCCCAGCCCCTCCCAAGAAATACATGAAAACCCAGCAGGGTCTGTTGGCAGAACAACATACTCTCAAGAGGAATCTATGTGAAAACTTACAAAAATGTTCTCTGCAGGTTAAAACCTGCCATCTGTATTAAAAGCTACCTTTCAAGAGCAACTAAAATCAACAGCTTTCATTATTAATGCTAAAAATGACTAACTCCTGCTGCCACAGTAGGCTTAGTACATAAAATTTTAAGTTATGGCTTTCTTTAGTTACTCTTTTACCAGTTATGCTTTTCCATAAGAAGAAAATAAGCTATAGACTATGGACTTGCATTTGTAACTACCCCGATGCACTTTCTGAGATTGTATCAGCAGACAAATCACTGAACATTTGAAATAACGAGGTTATGTTTTACATTATTTTTGTAAACCTTTGTAAAGCACAAGAAAAAAAATACTATTTACATGTCAAGAAAAAAGAAGAGCAGACAGATCACTGAACATTTGAAATAGCAAGGTTATGTTTTGCATTATTTTTGTAAACTTTTGTAAAGGACAAGAAAAAATATACTATTTACATGTCAAGAAAAAAGAAACATTTCTAAATTTGTTCTCAAATGTTTATATAAGTAAGTGTTAGTTTCTCTTGTGGCTAACCTGGTACTGGCCAAGTCCAAGAGCCGGGCTCTGTAACTGCTGAATAATTGATTCATCAAAGTACCCATTTTTCTCCCACAGCTGGAGAAGCTGCATAAATGCAAGAGCAAAAGGTTGTTAAAAATGATGGACAATAGAAGAAAAATCAAGGCACAGCATTTTTATGCCTCTAGCTTTGTCAAAAGGCCTAGCATTTAGTAACTTGTCTTTGGAAGTACGAAGGACCTGAAGGTATTCATCATCATGGTAACTTTTAAATAAAGCCCAGGTACTTTTTTTCATTTAAAGTTATCATTCAAACATGAATTTAAGTACATTCTGTGACGGAAAGGCCATGCTTGAAAAATCTCAGCAGTTCTCTTCTGTCCTCATATTTCCCATATGTCTAGCACTAATCGGAGAGAGCAAAACGTAGCGTTAAACAAAAACCAGCTACTTACTCTGGCGATTTTCTGTTGCTTATCCTCCTCCACTGCTAGGAAACTGGTACAATAGATGGGCACAACCACCTTCTGCAAAGCAGCCAGAAGGTCTCGTGCCTGCTTCCGCTGGCTTCAGGAAAGGAACGAGGAGAGTTATTGCCTTTTACTAGAACAGTAACACTAGTTCTTTACATTTCTGTACGGACTTATCTGAAACAAGCATACACAAAGTAGATGAAGCTGAGTATAGTTATTAAAAAAGTTCTTACCAGTGATGCAGTACATCATTGATCAAGTAGATCAAATGCAGCCGGAGCTCGAAGTGGGCTCCTTCGGCCGTTATGCGATTCCGCAGGTGCCCAGCCATCAGCTCACAATGGGCAGGAGACTTTGCATTACTAAACATCCAGTTTTTGCCAGCCTTAGAAAAGGATTTTTAAAGTATTTTAAGTTAGGATGTGAACACATCAGACTTCGGACTTGCTAAAACTGAAATAACTGCAAGGAAAATATTCAGTAACAGCTGCTGTCTCACGTGCCATACAGTGCAACAATAACGTTGCTATTTTTAACCATACAGTCTCAAAATTCAAGTTGCACTTATCTCCAACACTACTAAAAAACAAACAGTTCAGATTTAGATCAGTCATTTGTTCCATGATCAGCTTACTTTATCTTGCCTATTCTGAGGGTAATTTCTGTCCTATTTCTTCACAATCAGTAGTTGCTTTGAACTACTTTATCTAAACCCTAACGCAGCATTAAAATTGGTGCCCCAAAACAGTTCAAGATAGGGAGAGAGCGATCTCTTTTTTCCATTAGCACAAATCAAGTCCCTCCATCCCCCCAGTCTAGCACAGGACAAATCAAGGACAAATCAAGTCCCTCCATCCCCCCAGTTTCCAGGGAAGAGCCTCTTCTCCAATTTTTGAACTGACTTCCATGTTCTCAGTAGCCAAACAGAAGCAAAGATAAAAAAAATCAATTGCGAGTGCAATGAAAACCTTCTGATTGCCTTTTGTACAAGTAAGACCCCCACGTCCTTCTTGGTATCGTATTCATAGTTTTATAGTTGCATTTCACCAACAAAGACAGGAACAGACCTGACATGCAGGGACGTTCACTTACCGAGATTGCGTCTTTTGTGCACGTGTCAATTATTGGCTGCAACAAGTTGTCAAACTCATTCATATCTAACTGGGTTTCCTCTAAAACTTTCTGCATTTGTTGTTCAATTGCAAGGGCTACTGCTGATGTAACTTGCTCCTGAAAGAAAAAACAACAACAAAAGCAATTACATTGCAACCAATGTATCCTTGTTGTCTTAACCTTAAGCAGTCATCTTGAAGACCAAGCCCTTGACCTCCAACGTGATCATGTATAAGTGTGTTATTTCTGAAAAAAAAGTCTCTTCCTGCTCTTTAGGAGAAATATTGTTTATTTCCACCTCCTAAATCTCTCCTTCACAAGAGCCGATAACTCCGCCAGCTGCTAGATGCACAGCACAGTCCGCACGAGGATCCCCCCTTCTCCAGAGACTCTTCAATTCGGTACCTCCAAAAGCAAAATACAGGCTGAAAAACACCTAAATGGAGCACAGAGCACCATCCCGGGCCAGCCCCAGGCAGAATCCACCTGTGAGTGCTACAAGCTGGAACACCCTGTAGTTTTAGGGAGCTGCAGCATCAAATAAAGGATAGAGTTACTCCTTTGAGTGCCGCCACCGCTGTCCCCCTCCGCAGCCACTGGACAATAACCCAGACGGCTCCTTGTGCCAAACCGACCTGCCGCATGGCGAGGAGGTGCTGCTCCTGCTGCTGGAGGTTCCACTGGCTCTGCTGGATGAGTTCCTCCACGGAGGGAGTTCCCTGAGGGGCCGGGATCGGCGCAGCCGGCGGCAGCGTCGGCTGTGGCAGTGGCTGGATCTGCGCGGGGGCCTCCATGTCCTGGCTCTGCTTGCACAGCACTGCCGGGGGGACGAGCACCGTGTTAGCACCCAGACACCGGCCACCAACAGCCTAGGGGGAGCAGCCTCCGTGACAGCCGAGGCGGGGGGATGGCGGATGGGGAGGAGAAGGAGCGGGTTAGCGAGGAACGACCCAACTGGAGGCCTGGTCAGGATGGGGGGGGCGCTGTGGGGGGACACCCCGCTCTGGAGGGCACAAGGGCCTCCCAGCGCCCCCCAAACGGGGGTTGAGGAACCGTGAGGAGCCCTGGGAGATCGGCCGAACCCTGGGCGGCCACGAGGGGG